GTTAGATATAACATCATCGTTGCAAGTGTCGCGCGTCCCTTCGTTCTTCCAATGACTCATTGGGGTCATTTTTCACAGAGTCCGCATTAGTTTCTAATTATCCAATTGATTAATGTCACGGAGACGGTAGCGGTAACGGGGTTAAGAGAAAGGGCTGAAGAGAACGTAGGAGCTATGTGTCTTGATTGAGAAAAAGCGAACGACGTCGATCGCGTGTTGAGGAAAGGCCGACGTAAGGCATCGCGAGAAGCGCGGCGCCCGGCAATTGATCGCAATATTCAAGGATTGTTCCTAACGAACTTGAGCATCCTGATCATTATCTCGTAGGGGTGCACTCGCAAATAGTGCGCGAGCTTAGGGATATCGGGGGTTACACGGCGCCTAGTGACTCGATGCTCGCGCAACCGCTGGCAGTGAATCTCTCCCCTCCAGCCCTCACGCTTTTCCAGCTATTTCTCACTATTCCATTTCCGCTTTTTAATAACTCGCGGCGCGCTTCGGGCACGTATCGTTTCGCGCATGTCGTGTGGATGAATTCGTAATGACCACCAGCGCGTTAGAGACTCGAGAGCGAAGTCGTACTTGAGATCTTGTCGCCGGACTGCGGTCCACGTAAGCTATGTGAACACGCGACGTTAATTTCTCCTTGTTGTCGTGACTATGTGCCTTCCAGTCTGGACCAATGGTGTTTTTTTCTTTTTGTTTTCAATGAGAAAATAGGAAATAATCGATCGAAGTTATGTTTGCTGGTGTGATCGAGTCGAAGCGCTGGTCGAGAGACTGTAAGGTACTCGTAAGGTAATACTCATCTCTCTATTTCTCATAAAAAAATAATGCTTTTATTCACGACTCCTTTTTTTCCAACAATTTCATTGCTTTCATTACATTCATCAAATGCCATACGAGTCATTGTCATCGTTAAATTTACGTTTGCGATAAAGCTCATCGCGCATTAAATTTGTTCCTGTCATCTCTTTAGTATTTAAAAATTAATTATTTAAAACAGTGAAACAGAATTTTCCTCTTCTACGTCACGTAAGACGAAGATATTAAGAATTATAAACAGTTGAGATATTTGTTCCAGTTGCTCACTCTTTTTCTTCAAAGCTCCTTTTTCTTCAAAGCTAATCCGCGTATCACAAATAAATTGATGACCAAGAGCACTCGCAACGAGTACTGAGAAAAATAATATATGTGTTGAAAATTAATGATATTCAAAGCTCATTTATCGTGTGTATTTTGTGTGTGCGTGTGCGGGTGTGTGTAAAAAAAAGAAAAGAAAAAAAAAGAGGGAAATAAAACGAAGTATTTGCTAGTGGAAAAGTGCGATACGAGCGTGACGGCATACAGATCTATTAGCTAAGCTGAATGTTGTGACAGGCGCCGTATTTTCATATAATATACTCGTTATCTCTTCGCTCATATTTGCAATGCATAACGTTTGTTTTGACAACACTTACCAGTTATTTGTAATCTGATACAAAATTAAATTGGCTCCACTGAGGATCATCTATTTGCTTATTTATCTAGCTGGCTGCTTATCCGTATGTATATATTCTCGAGAATTAATGTTGCGCGATATTTGCAGGGCAGCTAAGGATCTGGAGGAGCGTCGCAGTCATTATGAGCCGTCCATTGGACCAATTCCCGATGACAGTGATCACGTCTTTCCACTCGAGGAAAATGATTTTGTCCCTCATTTCCAAAGAGTCTCCATATCCGGCGAGGACACGTCCGGGGTAAGCATTGCATATCATTTCAAGATCGTGCACCTTGTCTCGATTATTCGAAGCCAAACAAAGATCGAGGATTAGCTCATATGGATGCCTATGTACGTCGAGATCTCAACCTTGAACGAATAGATTTTTCATTGTTTAGAAGACCGGAAAGTAGTATAGAGGTAAACCAAGTTACCGCATCATACACGCATGCTGAGAAAAGTGGACAAAGGAGTGTCAGGGCCAAGTCCGTAAAGCTGGTTGAAAGTCACATCGTTAAATCGCGTCTAATGTCCTTGTGTGCTTTCATAGGTGCCGCTTGAGGACTTGCAGCAGGCCTCGCAAATGCTCGTACAGGCGCTCGCTATTCGCGAGAGATACATGAACAACTCAAAGCAGTCTTTCCCCACTATTGCATCTAGGTTCTTGCGTAGCGTCGACAAGAGGCCAATTAATCTCGATGAAGAGATGCAGCATGACGAGCGCAAAGCGATCGAAGGTACGACCTTATGCAGTAATCAATACGCTGGCAATCGCTGCAAAGGGTGTAATGCATTCATTTGCACCTGCTTTTGCTTCGCTGCCTTAATATCCACAATCTTTTAAAGAAAATTTCTTGGATTGTACTTGCTTGACAAGCCTGATTCAACGGATAAATTTCAATTCTGTTGTGTATGAGCAAACATCTTCTACGGGTGAATGTATTCCTTACAGCTTTCATCGCCCTTTTATAAATTAAACATTGTAAACCCAAGTTCAATAGAGTTCCGTAATTTAAACAGTTTTTATCATCATTCATAGATCATCCGGTGCACGCACCTGCATCGCGAGGTGATCCTTGGGAATGTGAATTCCCAACAAGCAAGAATTACAAAATAGCTCCGGTCAACGGGGTTTTCAATCTCTTTGCTAGCGAAGACGATTACAGCGATGGGAAGCCCGTACCCTATTCATATCCCGATCTCGCTACATTCGTCAGGGATATGAACATCTTATGCGCTATGATTGCGGATGGACCACTTAAGTCCTTCTGCTACAGGCGACTCAGTTATTTATCATCAAAGTTTCAATTACACGTTCTCTTAAACGAGCTTCGGGAGCTTGCCAGTCAGAAAGCAGTGCCGCATCGAGACTTTTATAACATTAGAAAGGTATTTCTCTGTCTTCTTTTATGCCGTACTTGAATATACAATGATTTTTTTTTTCAATATTCTGTACGTTGTATATTAATGTTGATAAAAAATAAATATCGTCAATAATTTGCCTTACATTGCCTCCGTTTTATTTCAGGTTGACACTCACATTCACGCAGCCTCGTGCATGAATCAAAAGCACTTGCTTCGGTTCATTAAGAAAACTCTGAAAAATCATGCCGATGAAGTGGTGACATGCTCGAAAAATGGTGAAACAATGACCCTGCAAGAAGTATTCCAATCTATGAATTTAACCACTTACGACCTAAGTGTCGATATGCTTGATGTTCACGCAGTGAGTATTGTACCCCTTAAGATTACTATTAAATATACTTTTGCCCTCAAATTTATGTTAATAATTTAATGTGGCCTCTTGTAGGACAGAAATACATTTCATAGGTTTGATAAGTTTAACGCAAAATACAACCCAATCGGCGAAAGTAGATTAAGAGAAGTTTTTTTAAAAACTGACAATTACATTAATGGTACATTTTTTGCAAGCATTATTAAAGAAGTATCGAGTGACTTAGAAGAATCAAAGTATCAAAATTCTGAATTACGACTTTCAATTTATGGCAAAGGTCCAGAGGAATGGGATAAGCTTGCAAAATGGGCGATCCAAAGTGATGTATATTCTGACAATGTACGCTGGCTCATTCAAATTCCTAGATTATAGTGAGTAAATCATTTAATTGTAAATTTTTACTACCTTAATCAATCGGGAGTGAATTATGTAATCGCTCATAAATTATTCATAATAAATTGAATATTGAAATTTCTTGCAGCGATATCTTCAAATTAAATAAGCTCATGAATAATTTCCAGGAAATTTTAAATAATATCTTTTTACCTTTATTCGAAGTAACAAACGATCCTACAACACACCCTGAACTGCATAAATTTTTGCAATACGTATGTATTTAGAAAATTTGAATATAATTTAATATTTAGAATAATGTTAATCAATAACTTTAGCAATATAATAAAGTAATTTTTTCAATTAAAAGGTAATAGGGTTTGATTCAGTAGATGATGAAAGTAAACCTGAAAATCCTCTTTTCGATAAAGATGTTTGTCCTCCAGAAAAATGGAACGATATAGAAAATCCACCGTATGGTTACTATCAATACTATACTTACGCTAATATAACGGTACTCAATCATTTTAGAACGTAAGTAATAGAAGAATTGTAATTAAAAAAAAAAAAAAAAAAAAAAAAAAAAAAAAAAATTAAACATCTGCAATTGTGTGAAAATATATGATAAAAAGTATTTTTATTTATTTAGGGATCAAGGCTTAAATACTTTTGTTCTAAGACCACACTGTGGTGAAGCCGGACCAATTCAGCATTTAGTTTGTGGATATATGATGGCTGAAAATATTTCTCATGGACTTCTGTTGCGAAAAGTGCCAGTTTTACAATATTTGTATTATCTTACCCAAATTGGCATTGCTATGTCTCCCCTTAGTAACAATTCACTATTTCTCAATTATCATCGAAATCCTTTACCAGAATATTTAGCCAGGGGTCTCTGTGTTTCATTATCTACAGACGATCCTTTACAATTTCATTTTACTAAAGAACCGTTAATGGAAGAGTATAGTATCGCTGCCCAGGTCTGGAAACTTAGCTCTTGTGATATGTGTGAGCTTGCAAGGAATTCTGTTCTCATGAGTGGATTTCCACATAAGGTTTGCACCATAAAAGCTATTCTTGTTTTATTTATTCTCTTTTTAAAAATGCTTTATATTTTTAGAGTAAGCAGTACTGGCTAGGACCAAATTACACGAAAGAAGGAGTTGCTGGCAATGACATTACTCGAACAAATGTACCAGATATTCGAGTAGCCTATCGCTATGAGACCTTAATCGACGAGCTTTCTAATATTTTCAAAGTTGTAGAAAAACCCGATGTTTTCTAGTTATTTACGATAAAACCACGTGTACGCTATCGGTTTTAATATTGCCATATATTATAGAAATATTTTATTAAACATTACAGTAATATTGCTCAATCACAATTGATATATAAGATTTGATAAAGAAATGACAATATAAACAAACTGCATTTAGTTTGTTTAGTTTATTAATGAAAGCTATATAATTGAAAACCTTTGGAAAGTGATTAGAGGAGAAAAAAATGTAAAAACAGAATAATAAATAAATCTAATACAATGTTTATGAAATTTCTGACATGATTATTTATAATTTATACAATGAAGAAATAAAAGAAACTGTTGTTTAATAATGTAAATATTGAAATAAATCTTAATGTTATGTCTCAACCATAGTGTTTGGAAAAATGTAAGTGTTTTTTCGGGAAGTTTTTATTTAAATATATAGTTTTTAATTTAAAGTCATTAGTAATTTAATATAATAGTATTTTATATCTACTGCTATGTTACTAATGATTAATTTAACCGTGGTCATAGTCACAGTACTTTTCCAGTTATATTAAAAAACACTTTCCATTTCAAGTAAATGTAAAATAAGGAAAGCTTGGAACAATTGACTAATAATTCATCATCTTGGTATTGAAGTTAACATAACAAGGTTTTGTTACTTTTTACAATATTAATTCCAATTGACAGAATCATCATTATGACTTTTTAGGCTAATTATATTTAATATATCATAAATACCTGCAATTAGGCAAACCATGATAATTATTGATATTTAAAAGTTTTAAATTTATCATCTGTTTTAGTGGAACAGAAAAAAGTTTGCAGCGAGATCACAAAATAAGTGGAAGTTACTTAAATAATTTCAAATCCTTTATGATGTAAATTAATGTAGTAAGATTGTGAATAACATAGTCATCATTCAAATAAAGCAAATACTTCTGTAAATATTTATTAAGGATGAAGGGATGGCACTACTTATATAGTACTGTCAGTCATACATACTAAATATTGCTTTAGAATAATGATTAATAAAATATGTTCGTAATTTTTTCAGTTAAAAGATGAAGCATGTACTTGGCAACAATAACTACGATTTCGAATGTCAATTAAAATAATAGAATTTTTAATGAGAGAAAATCCTAATTAATATTTGCATATTGCTTCAGCATCGTATTATTCCAAACAATTATTTATTATCAACATATGTCAATAACGCTTTTCCATTTATTGTAGAGAATACCAATGAAGTGAACGTGTATAAATAATAAGCAAGCTCGAGCAACTCAGATAGATTTACTGTTTTTAGTTCAGTTCAAAGTCAATGCATAATGCAATGTATGGTCACTGACATCATCCTCTAGTGCACTAGTAATGAAATATTAATTTGAGCTTTAATTCTAGTTCATTAATATATTATCGATTTACATGACTATTTACTTTATTATTTTTAAATATAACTGATATACAAACGGAAATCAAAATAATTATCAAAATTTAATATTAATTAGCGTAATCATGAGTAGACATTCATACTTTTACATATTTAGTGTTTTTTCATTTTAGAATTATTAATCAAATTTCATAATTTTAATAAATATAAATAAAAATTACACAAAACACTTTAGATAAAAGAATTTGCAGTTAATACAACTTTTATATAGTAATTCATTCTGGTAGATTTTTATTTCTCTGTTGTTACCTTTTGTACGTTTATACTATTATTGTATACTGCGTTGAATTATTGATTAGATAATGGCAAAGTGTAAATAATTATCGTTTAAAATGATATATAATTAAATGCAAAACATTTTATAGTTATGAGAATTATATAAAATTAAAAGCTGTATTTATTGTACAAATTATATATTACATTAAAACTAATATATATTATGTTTTGTAATTTTTGTGATTTAATCGAATTGAATCCCATAAATGTCATATTACATTTCCTTTATTAAAACTTCATATTAAAAAATTTATTTAGTGAAATGCATAAATATTAATTAACAATTTATTAATAAAAAATTCCATTATTTCATAATAAATTTTTATTCAATATTTAATAAAAAAAAACAGAATATTTACATTATTACAGATATCACATGCATTTGACTTAATTAATGAATTTAATCATTTATTATTTTATAAATTAATTAATTAGTCATTTATAAACTTATCTTCATTATAAAATGCAAATCAGAATTCACGACTTATAAAAAGCTTTCTTTATTATCTTATACTTATTTTATGTACTAGAGAAATTAAGATTTTTTTACAAAAAAAAAAAAATCGATTTAGAATATTATAATGCAACTGGTATATCTTTAATTGATCTTTTTCTTCTTTTCAAACATAATAATTAATCTTCTCTGCAATTTTGGTATAATTTCACTGAAAATAAGCGTACCAATAAACACCAGTATCGTTCCAATCCAATGGTAAGTTGTGAATGGATTTTTGAAGTAAAGTATTGAGAAAATAAGAGAGGTGAACTTTCGAAGTGTTAATATTAAAGTAACCGTTAAAGATGCACATTCCGATGTCAGAGTGTATACTGAATTTATACAAACATATCTAAGTAACATTATTAAGATGAATAATTATGAGGTTATTATAAATTTTTTTACCATCTATTAAAATATATTAAAAGGATACTGAGATAGTGTATTCCCAATTAAATAAGCTACTGTCTTAGGCATCGTAATTTCAATAAAAGGAACAATTATTGGAGGTGAGTTTATCGCTTTTGTTATATGGTCCCATAAGTTTGATGTTAAAAAAATGAAAAATGGTAACGGTAGTAAATGCTAAAAGAAATACTAGTTATAAAATTGCTTAAATAGTAAATATTTGTTTTCTAAATATAATGCATACTGTGTAGTATAATGCTTCTCTAGGATGCTTTCCATAGTGTGAATACAGAATTTGCTGATAAATACCCAATCTTGCCGAAATAAATAAAGATATTGTTAAAATTACAATACCAATAATCCACCAGAAGAAATCATCCCATGGTGTTGTCAGTACAGAATTTTCAGTAATTGGCACAGTTGATTTAACTTCTTGGACACTCATTAGAGTACAAATTATAATTCCTAATGTTATCATTGTTACAGCTAAATACTTATCAAAAGTATAAGTTTGTTTTAAAATAATAATACCCATAATCATGTTTGCCACCAATGAGCCCTATAAAATATTATATTTAATATAATATATTTTTGTTTGATTATGAAAACTTGAATTATCTTTTACTTACAGCTCTGAATATCATATGCAAAGGCATTGGTATATTAAAATTAAAAGCATAATTATTACATACATTGGCAACAAAGAATAATACAACTAAAATCAGATAATTATTTAATGGTATTTTAGTCGGTTCTGTTCCAAATTTTGATGTAAAAATAATACCATCGATAGCAATAAATACAAATTGTAAAAATGTTATTAAATGTCCACTACCTGGATCATCTCTGAAAAATTAAATAAATTATTCAAAATTATATAAGAAAAAATGATATAAAAATTAAAAATACAAGTAGACTATTATAATTATATATTACTATCTTAATTGTTACGTAATACATAATTAATTAATAATTATGTAACAATTTACTTAATAATTATGATATTAGTTTTGATTGATAATTCTGATATAATGGAAAAGTTATGTTATAATTTTCTATAAAGTTTAATTTATTATTTATATTTAAATACTGCCTTACACTTTGTTTCGCTTTGATTTTTAGATTAAAATTCAGTTTACAATTGATATTCAAAAATAAAAATTATCTTACTTCATTAGTACTTCAAGGAAAAATAAATTAGAGCAGCATCCAAGAAAAACGAGACATGTTGCTAAACGTGCACCCATTTTTGCTTACAATTTTAAATTTCACGTTATAACTCTAACCTAGAGATACAAAATGCTCTTCAATTTACGTTTAGTCACTTAACATCATTTTCGTATAATCCTGTGTCTTGCGCATGGCTGTAATATTATCTTGAATTTTCATACAAAAAGCTTCGTCATTCCTCATTAAAATTAACAATCCGTAATACTAAATGAGATAAACGAAGAAATATAAACAGTAGAGCATATTCGATGCAGACGACGCTTGGGTTGCACAACCGTCGCCATGGGTTATAAAAAATTTTTTTTTTAACTTCTTAACATTTAAAAATTTTTTTTATAAAATACCATCACACATTATTTTCAATGAATATTTATTCGTGTAATTCTCGTATACCTCTATTTCTTACTCATGTCATAATCATGAGCACTTATCGATAGATGATATAACCACTCGACCCTCATAATATGTAATAATGTATTACATAGTATTGTGGAGAACTTAAATTGTTATCCCAAAACTCGTTTCGTCTCGGATCCATTAATTATGGAAATCATCATTGCGTTCATCACTATTCATTTGATTTTACATATTGATATTGAAAATAAATTGGAGAGAAATATGTAATAGAACGATTGTACATATTATAACTGTATAATTTTGTAAAGATTTACGATACAATTGCAGTCTCCACAATACAACATAACTATAAATATTATTCAAATCGTAATTCCTGTTGATTACTTAAATCTGGATTTTCATATTCAACAGTATAAGTATTTTGGGCATAATTTCTATAAATATCATATGTTAAAAGTTTCAAGTTTTATTTATAGAAATTGAATTTTTACATTTTACATTAAATTTATTATTGTTCATAATAATAAAATGAATTACGAAAAAATTATTTATAATAATTGAAATTTTGAGAATATCCAAATATCTTTATTTTAATTTAATTTAATTTAATTTAAATATCCAAATAATTTTATTTTAATAACTATTTTTAAAATTTTATTATTTATTTAAGGATGATAAAATAAAGATTAATTTATATTGTATTCAATTTTTTAAGAGAAAGCCTTTAAAAAAAGTGATTTAAAAATATAAAACATACAAATAATAAGAATTACCATTTTCAAATATAAATAATCATTAAAAGATTACCGTAAGTACATATTTATATATCTTTATTTTAACAGTACATTTTATGCTAAATGTAAAACATTTTCCAACTATTAAAATATTAATAACTATAAATGTTTCTATACATTAAATAGAAGTTATTTAGCTTTAAATTTTTAAAACATACATTCTTATCTCAGTTAAGTAGACGCATGATATATATATATATATATATATATATATATATATATATATATCTTTTTATATAGACTATGTTAAATAAAAATTTAACGAGAAACAATTATAAAATATTATAATAAAATTTATATTTTTTAAGCAGAAATCATATATTTTAGTTATAATATAGTAAAATAATCACAGTATAATATGTAAGATTTTTAATTAATATTAATATAGTTATTTATATAAAAAAATATGAATTTCAAGAAAAATCTTAAGTATTTGATATTAGTAGTCAATGTAGTCAAATTTTTAAAACCAAATATATCCTTTATAATATTATGAATAATTTAATATATTCAATTTTATATTTATGCAATACTAAGATATAACTGTACTTTTATTTAAATGAGAAGACAAAATAAAAGAAAATTTTTTTTTTTGTCAAATTCCTTAAAATTTTACATTTAATTTTTTCTGGACTTAATACATTTAACAAGTATTTGGGGTCTCTAACGTTTTTCTCAATAAAATAATCCTCTATTATATATTACTTTATTATTATTATTATTATATTATATAATAATCATTTCATTGAAATAATTTTTAATATATTTGAAAATTTTAATGAATTAAATTTGCACGCATACACATTCATAAGTACACTCCTATAGTACCGCCTCCCCCCAAACCAAAAAATAAATTATTTGTATCTCATAATTAGTAGTAAAACTTTGATAGGTTTTCATTATCAGCATAAGCAACACTTATTTTGACAACCATTTGATTATATTAAATTTTTGTCAAACAGTGTTACAAATTGAGAGTGTAATCCTGTATGTTAATATGTAAATAATATTACAATATTTTATATAACTTTCTTCCGTTTTCGTTTTGTTAATAAGCATTAGTTTCTCTTAACCCAGTATTAATATAATTCTTATAATTTCTAATTAAATTTTAATTCCTTAATAAATAAACGCCATTTTATTTAATCAAATTATCTTTCAAAGGGAGAAAATTTAGAAACCCTTTCTCGTAAATCCGACAATCACCTACAAGAATACGAAACATATTAGATGTCACATTTCTCAAACATTATCTTTCTACCGAATTTATCTTAAGTTTTGTACTTCCTACTCTTTTTTTTAACTCTTTTTTATATGTTGCTATAATTTTGATATATTGTGGCACTAGTCGTTTGTCACAATTATCTCAGGAGATTTTTACTATGTGTGTATTAGAAAGAAAGTTAAAAAATTTTGAAACATGAAAAGTAACAAAATATGTTTTATTTCTTGTAAAATTGCTGTACAGCTACAGCTTATCAAGAGAATATCATACAGATTTGTATTTCATTTTAATTATGAATATATAATATTTTCATTTCTGATTATAAGTATATCTATAAACGAATGATCGAACAAAAATATTTTATTTATCAGTTTTAATAATTTAATTCTTAAAAATATATTTATAATCAGCGTTGAATATTACATACACGGGAATTCGGTAATTGGAAAGAGTATTTGAAAAAATGTGAAACGAATGAAAAGAGATGGAATAGTATTATGGGAAATTGAATGGGTAGTCGCTGCCACAAGGAGAATAAAATAAAATTCTAAAACATGACTAAAGTATTAGCATAAAGAAGCAAACAATGAAAATGTAAACTAATTAGGTGGATTAGATGATTGTTAACTATAATAGTATTCAAATCTTAGTAGATTATTTAGAATTTATTTAGAATTATTTAGAATTATTTTTATCATATATATCTTTAAATAATATAATCTTTAAATATAATTTCTAGAAATTAATCGCTCGACTAGCTCTAATTTATTATATTTTTTTTCATCACTAAATAATAAAAGATTAACTTCAGAGGTGGAGGAGATAAGGGCTTTATATGATTTCTGATATTTCTACGATTCTTTTATTACTTCATTAACTTAATAACATTTCCTAGATTTTGTTATAAATTAAAAAAATATTAAAATATGATGAAAAAACATTAAAATAAATACATTTTTAAACTAAATAATTTAATTTAACAAGTGGCAATATGTGATTTAAATATTGATTCAATGTTAATAATGTTATTAGTATTAAATGCTAAAAAATGTAACAATAACTAAACTAAATCAACAAATGACTAAATTTATTTGTAATAATGTAAAACACTGACTCGTATATAATTATATTAATAGCAATTTGTAATTTATATTTCATGTTTAATGCGTTTAATGTTTAGTATTACTTGCAACTCAATATTTAAATTAAAATATTGCTTTCACGTTAAATGGCATTACGAGTGTTTCGTAATGGCATTTAAAGTATATTAAGTATTATTTTACTTATTATTTCTTTTATTTTTATTATATAATACGTATGTATGCGTATGTACGCGCGCGCACGTGTGAACGGATGTAGTGTTTATTAAGACGTAGCGCAGCAGATTTGTAGAGCGAGATTAATTTTATGGTTGATTCAATACATAATCATATGAATGTAATAACATTTTTTAAGGCCGTTTTTATTTCTATACACATCTTTATACTTTGTTATATATTTAAATACTATATACTATAATTATTTTGCATTTCAACACAAATTTAATATAGATTAGATGATTTGTTCTATTAAGCATATATGCATTATTGAGCTTATCAATAATGGATTGGGAATGGTTTAAATTGTTAATAAAATTAAATCATATCCAATTTATATTATAAATGTTTTATGTGATTTTTTGTATATAGATTTTATATTCATAATACTATTTACCATAATACCTTCATTAGCAATAATATGTACCTTACATTATCATATCAACCGCTTTTTAAATTAATTGTCTCACATCGGAAAGTAAAGAGTTTTATTGTACAACTATTCCTTTACTTATCTCATGTTAAGTAGGAGAAGGGCTTGTGATTTTATATTCCTATCATCTTGATTTATTTTGCAAAATCAACGATTAAATTTTCTAGATAAGTTCTTATATTCATTATGTCATGAACTTATTTTTAAATATTTGTAAAAAAATTTCAATGTCATCAAATTTCATTCGACAACGACCATACATTTTAATTTTTTCAATAGCGTTTATTCCACAAGCTTTATAGTACAGTAATACTTTCCTTTTATATTTTAATAAATTATGTAGTAAGTTATGTTTATTAGTTTTTTTTTTTGATTTATTATATTGCTATATCCGCATTAATCAAGAATATTTAATATTTTTATTGATAGAATACTGTATGTTTAAGAATTTGATGTAATGCAATTATTAATTCTGAAGAATAGCCACAAAATAAAAGTCCTGAACTGGATGTTTGTTCGACTGACACAATTTTTCATTAAATATTTCTATTTAATTGTATTTGTAACCTTTTTACTTTCATATGTTACATATATGCAATAACTTTCATATATTGAATATATTTCATTGCATTATATGTTTCAATTGAATTAGATATTTTAATTGATTATCGATATGAATTGTTAATAATAGACGAGGATAGGAACAACAAAATTCGTGTAATTTATGACCTCATAACTGTAATTCAAATATAAACAACTAGTCACTCGCACAGTTTATCGTAGTCTATCAAACTTTCGCTCTTGCTTGCTGAATTTTCGATTATTTTCTCTTCATTTCTCCTGGTTTGCAGAGAGCAAAATAGTGTAGATTATTTTGCCATTTGTCGAATACATTACTGATGACTTAATAATCAAACTGTGAGTCGTACGGAAACTCGGCTTATTGTATAACTGTACGTATTTTTGTGAAGATAGGGATGTTATTTGTAAACAATTATATTTTTACTTTTTTAAGTTCTTAATGCTGGAATTTAACGAATATACGAATTTTTAATATTGAATAAATTAATTATTTAAATATTTTGAAAAATTATACTTTAACATAGTGGAATATAATATATTATGAATAAATATGAACCAATACATTTTTGAGATTTTATAAAATATGTTCATTAAGTAAAAGACTATGAATAAAATATTCAGGAAGGTCTATTCTATAATCTGTAATGTAATATACAAGTGTAAACTGCTTGAAGTCACTTGCCACACTGTTTCTCAATAGTTACTTTCATGTAAAACAAGTCCCATGATAATGTTAAAGATAAATCACAAATATGTATTTTTTCTCTAGATCATCAATTCACAATATAGAAAATCTTCTTATATAAGAAAACAATCGAGTTAATGGATATATCTTTTTTTCTTTATTTGTGTCAAGTAAATTATTTATATACTATATATATATATATATACATATTTAAATATATTTATGAATTATATTTAAACATATTATATATATTTAAAATGCAAAGCAAATGACTACAAATTAATTTTGTTTTAAATAAACAATGAGACAATATAATACAAATAAATATACATGTATCTTTATCGTTACATTATTGAACAATAAACTATCTTTAATTACTTTTTTTTATTACGAGAGAAATATTATTTTAAATATCTTTTCATAATATAATATTTAATTGCATTGTATTATCATATAAATTCAAATAAGAACGCTATTACGATCCCTATTGTTTTTATCAATTTCTTTGTTGGGAAAAACAATTTTTTTGACTTTATTTATGAATAAAAAGAGAATTGCGTACATCTTTTTATAACGATTTGAATACTTCATTGAAAAATATTTTTTATCTAAAGGAGTAAAAAGAAATGTAGGCATATACATACATTATAAATCATACAATTAACTTTCATTAAATGTAATTGAGATAACTGCACATTTTGTAAGTACAATTTTAAATCAGAATAAAGCTATTAACGTATTACTTATAATATATTCTTCATTACCACTATTTTATAGCTTTTTAATCAATATTAACTAGAGATAATACTAATATTATCTTAATTGTATTACAAGAATACAAATAAACTGCGAATTCACGTAAAAATGATATTTTTAGAAACTATTTCATTTTAATTATATTAATTATATAAAATATTTTGATTGAATCATGATATTTATTTTCTTTTAACAATCAGGATTTGGTAATATATCTATAAAAAATTTATTTAAATAAAACATCATCGTATTCATAAATTAATATTTTTCAACTTTATATTATTTTATTTTTTATTATATTATATTATATTTAATACAGTACAAATGTTTATTGTATTCAAAAATACAGATTTGAAATAGAAATTCTCTTTAGAATTGTTTTATAAATTGTGGCATAACTATCTTATTAAAATTTTGACTATTAAGACAACTATTGTATTAAAATGATTTAAAATAAATATTTTAAAATGTTACAATTTAGTTAATAATGTTGGTAAATAATTATAATTCAGTAAAACATTTGAAAAAGCTAATTAATTTTTTTCCAAATTATTATCTAATACATCAGAGATCAAGGTTCAATTATGATCTACATTTTTAAACTAATTTATAATCAAATTTTACTTAATATAATTAATTTAATTTTCAGCATTAATATATATATATATATATATATATATATATATATATATATCGAATAATTAACAAACTGTATATGTGGACATACAATTTTTCAAATTTGTTAGAATCGAATTTTTAAATTTTAAAAAGCCCAAAAAAATAATTTAAAGATAACATTTTAAAAGTAAAAATGCTTTTAAAATATTTATCAATAATTTAATAAAAAAAGGCTTGCGCGGAATTATATCGGTAAATTATATTATTAATATTGTGTAAAATTCATTTCAAATTGGCGATAATATTTAAGATTAAGGTTCTATTTTCATTTCACTTCGACCCTCTAATATTTGTTATAAAAAACTTTTTATTTAATCAAATACTTTATTTTAATATATAGTATTCCTATAAATTTTCATAGAAAATTTAGAAAAATTATGAAAAAATTATATTTTTTAGCTGAAAGGAATATTACATAATTTGATTAACAAAGAATTATTTATAATGTTTGCAGGTAATTAAAAATGTGTAAGGGTCATATAATGTATGTATGCACTGTGAATTTTATAGGTGTTACGAGAACATATAAAAGTAATGCATATACACTATTCTTTATAATGGGTATTGACATAAAAATCTAATAATAATTCGTCATAAAACTATTTGTCTGCATCATAAAAGTGACATGAATTCTTTTCGAGTCATAAAAATCTTATGTCTGCTACAAGATATGTAAGTATCGATTCTTCTCCTAGAATTTAGGTATCTGGTACACAAACCACGAAATCTTGAAAGACCAAACATAAATTCATTTATTACGCAAATACATTGTTTATTTTTCGGTAATAAAATATGTGATATTCTCTCTGTAAAGTATTAAATAAATATTAAAAATCAAAATTATAATTTTATTTGATTTAAATTTGCAAATAATGAAAATGTTTTTTCATTATTCAGTGGCAATATTTTAAATTATTTATATTATTAATTGAATATTTAAGTTTAAATTAATTACACTAATTAAATAAAATCAAAGACTTATATCCAGTTGTACTTAATAATTAAGATATAAACATTCTTTTTAAAACAAAATTCCATAATTTATCTTGAGTGAGAATGCAATAATATTGATTGTTTATCTAAAATAATATATCAACGTAAAAACATAATTTTTTTCTTATTTATCAAGCGCGAAATAGTATTTACAATTTTTATTTATTATTATTTCAAACAAGTCGACACAATAAAAGGGTTATAATGTTTCGAAAATTTAATATCTTTCTATTCATTTTTTAATTTCTCAAAAAAATACGAAACAATGTAATTTCTTCAAAGTCTTTTTAATTACATTTGAAATTATGTCAGCTCAGAATGAGTATAATAAGATAAAAAACTGTTTAGTTATCTTATCTATATTCCATCGATAATATGCTGTTTCATTAAATAATTGAAATAATTTAGCAACTTAATCGGAGTGTATCATATAATGCTTTAATGTATAAAGTGTTCAATTTATTAAGAAATCGACAGTAAAAAGAATAGGATTCGTGTGTGAAACTGCTAATGAAACTATAAGTATTGGAGTTTATGATACAATAGTTTTGGTAAACAATATCAATTTTCTATCGCAACAGGCAATATAGTTAAGCGTTTTGAATAAAGTTTTCTATTATATTTTTTTGATCTTAAATTTACTATTATATTTCTATTATAGTATTATAATTTGGAAACATTTTATTTTTAAAAAATTGGTCTAACATAGCAACCTTGTAATTTAAATATTTTCAAAATTAATATTTAGAATTAATAAGTTATCAGATATACATAAGATTGCTTGTTATAATAAAATATAATTCTATGAGTTAAAATTTCAAATTTTCGAAAAAAGACAATCATTTTATTAATCTCTACATAGTTTTTAAGTTTTTGCGCTTATAGTTATTTGTGTTTTCTAAAATCGATGTTGAAGCATTAGAATAATGTTTATGACAATAAGTCTATTATGTACTCAATCAATTTTTTATGACTTATTATTACTAGTATATATCTGAAGTATAATTAATTGTAATAAAAATCTATAAATATAATATAAAAGTTTATGTACTTTTAGATAATAAATTTATAAAGTAATATTTTGTTTTGCTTTAGAAAATATATTTGTAGTCATCTAATAAGTCAATTTACCAATCATTATATCGGTTTCCAAATAAACATTCCCAATAATCATATTGTCAAAATTGTTAATTGGACATAATCATTACAAAAAGTGTATAATTGAAAATATTTATTTATATATAATGTGCCTTTGAAAATGGAAACATTTAGATGTCGATTTACTGGCACAATTGTCAACAAAACTCTTGAAAAAGCTAGTACTTAATCTTACATCTTTTGTAGTTAAAAAAATATTAAGCCTTATTATATGATTCAACATAATTTAGAATAAGTATTAAATGAGTATTTTATATTTTATAATTATGTTAGGTCCATTGTACGTGGATAAAATTTATCGCCATTTTACAAGAGGTAAATTAGACCTACAGTTTATTAAAACTATATTTTAAATGTTACAAATTAAGTCAATAATGCTAAATCGAGTGTCATATATAAAAACAAAAATATCCTAAAGCTATGTTAATTATCTTAAAGATAAATAACAATTTTATCGTACATTCAAATAATATGGAATCTATTAGTATCATTTTGCATGTATTTAGTTAGCTAACTCTAAGCAATTATTGTAATCTATATTGCACAGGCAACGTTTATATAATTTTAAAATAATTAAAGGATAATCACAGAAGTGGATTGGAGGTAGGAACGGAGAGGGGGTGATGATTACATGAGACCGACTTTCGAGACTTGTCGTGGAGTAATACTGAGTCGAATGCCGCCGACGTTGTCGAGGACGAGTTTTGGAACGAAGCGCAATTGATTCTCGTGATCGATTGCGCAGAACCTATAGGCACGCAACAGCGAAAGCAGCATCATCTTTACCTCCATGGTCGCAAATTTAGAGCCTATGCAGTTTCGCGAGCCTGCGCTAAAGGGAATAAACGTGAAGCTTGGTCGCTTCGGTGCATCCGGGAGGAAGCGCTCGGGCCGATAGACATTTGGCTCTGGGAAGTAGCGGACATCGCGGTGTAGTAGGTACGAGTTCACCAGTACCGTAGTACCGTTCGGGATCTCGTTCCCTCCTGTGTATTAAATAACAAATTTAATATAATATTACAGTATGGCTAGAGATGTTGAGGAGGAGGAGGGGGAGGAGGAGGAGGGGGAGGGGGTGGTAGTCGTCGAAGGCTTTCTTATACTCACGTAGAGTGATGGAATTGTATATTTGCCGGGCGAGTAGAGGCGTTATCGGATAGAGCCGCCAGGTTTCTTTGATACACGCGTCGAGCCAAACGAGCTTTTGAAGGGATTCGTAGGTGACCTTGTTCTGACCGAGCACCTCGTCGCACTCTTCCAAAATCTTATCCTACAATTAGGAACTTCATAGTCAGTTTGATGACTCGTGAACTTGTTAGGAGTGCGCTTGTCTTACTTACTTGATAATGTGGATTTCTACCAAGGGCATAAAGTATCCAAGAGATGGTCATGCCAACGGTGTCATGACCCGCGAACATGAAGGTATTTACTTCCTCGCGGATGTCATCGTCCGACAGTCGCTCGCCGTTATATGACATCTCAAGAAGAAGATCCAAAAGTGTATTCGACTTACGCGAGATTTCGTTAAGGTTCGCGTTGCGCTCTGCTGTCAGCTCGAGCTTACGTACTGCGATCACCTGGAAATTAGTCAGTCTTTAAAGATGTGCACATTATACATGTCATTATCGGTTGAAGATAACAAACGCTTACCAACCTTATCGACAAAGTCGTGAACAATCTTGAGTGCACTCTCTTGTTGCTTGCCAAGGGCCGTTCGTTTGAAGATGGAATCGTACGATATCCAAATATTGACGAACCTCATCTGTGCGATTGCAGTTAAGCTAATCACATTTATTTAAAAAAAAAAAACTAGTATATTAGTTATTTGCAGAAGCTAAATGGTTATACGAATAATAAGACAACTCTTATATACCTTTGAACAGCCAGCACGTAATCATTTCGATAATTTGTTTGGGCATTAATGTGGTACCCCATCGCGGACTCTGAAATGCAAAAACAGAGAGTGAGCGCCGATCGTCCTTTATTTCATCATAAATTCAATATGACGTTTAAAATATATGTGCACTTTTTGATTAATTATTAATAATAATTTTGTTTCTTAGTGAAAATTTATCATTTATTTCGTATTGAAGGTATACAAAGGAATAAATAAAATTAACAAGAAGAATTTTTAAAAATTATTAATTAACAATGGAAAAAATGACGGAAATTAATTCGATATATGACTCCGATAAGCAACATTCGCGAGAGAAATTCTTAAGTAGATCGCAAAATAAAATTAATTCCAATCGACTTAATGTAAGTATACAAACAACATTCCATGAAAAAATGAGAGTTAATATTTTTTTTATCTTGTTCATACGAAGTCGTGACTTTCACACCGGTTTGCATGCAGTCATGAACCAATCCATGCTTACGCACATGCACCCGCGCGCACGCGCGCGTATATATATATATATATATGTATGTGTGTATATGTGGTCTTATTGTAGCACTTGTTGCACCAGCTCTGTAGAAAGAAAATTCAGAATCCATTAAGTGCGAGTTTACTGTCATTAGAGAAAAATATGAAAATTGAGGTGGAGCCTGTTAATCTGAAGAAGGTTCGTATTTACACCACGTTTATTGTAAAGAATTTCTCGCAATCCTAAAGTTTATTTTCCACAGGAGCCGTTTATTATGAAGTACAAAACACCGGAGCGCCTTATTGAATTATCTCAGCCGCGGATACGATCGCGAATGACAATCAGCCCAAAGAAAGATTACCCGAATTTAAGTAGCATGATGATTTATGAGACCTCACCACGGCTTCTTGAGCTTGCAAAACCTAAACGAATAGAAAAATTTCAACCCAAGGAGACTTATCATATTCCGCAAAAAGTTCTTCGGGCTCAAGGTACAATTAATTAAATTAATGGCCGAAGTGTACTCGAAATACCTTTTACAAATAATGCTTCGCTTTTGGTTCAGCCTCCAATCGTATAATTCAATTATCGCAACCTCGGAAGTACAATAGATCTGCGGGTTCGAACAATAAAAATCTGAATAAATCGAAAATTACTCCTGAAATCGTGGCTTCTCGTTCGATGAAATGCTCGACTAGCAACTTCATTACTATAAAGAAAAAGAACAAGGATTATCAGCTGCCCTGGTAAGATAGCATTATTATTTATTGAGAAAGCTTGAACAAAAAAAAAAAAAAAAACAAAAACAAAGATAAACTTTTAGGCTGAAGAAGATTAGAAAGGATTCTATTGCATTGAGTACTCAGCCATTTCCTTCGAAAAACAGCATAATCGAGTCTGAAAATAAAAACATTGTTTTAACGAATTCGAAGTTTTTCCAGAAAAAAGAGAATCCTATTAAAAGAACGTTGAAAAGAATAGTGGAAAAAAAGCCTGTTTTTAAATGAATATTGAATGAACATCGATGTTTTTATAATATATATGAGAGAGGAGAATAAGAGATTAATAATAATAAAAAATATTTTCATACCACATATGACGTCAAGAGCAGCGCGTTTGGCATACGGAATGATGTCGAATTCTGGATTGCCGATTTCCGTGCGCAAACAGGAGACGAGGATATTAGCTTTCTTCCACGATACTTGAAAATAATTTTTTAACAATTCGCTATGAAAAATCGGTGTTAGCAATTTCCTTCTCGCGTGCCATTTTTCTCCTGAAAATGTAGAAAAATAAAGAGTTTACCATAGTGCCGCATTCTCGATCGCGATTAAATCTTTGGCGTTCAAAATATAAACGTTTTAACGCGACGTAAATGCACAGAGCATAAAACGAAAGCCGAAACAAACAAACAAATGAGAAAAGAAAAGAGCAAAAGAATAAGAAGAAATAAAGTCCAGGATGGAGCATATAATTCCGAATTCCAGGTAAACGGTGCTTTCACGGTCTAGACGGGAAGTTCTTTATTTTTAGAAGCAGTTCATCTATTTCTTTTATACCGCAAAATCTCATCTATCCATAGTCTCGTAGCCTCGAGTTTCAAGCGTCCTTCCAATCGAATTAATCCGCTGTCCTCATTATTTTTCGTCAAAGCAACAATGTAACGCTTTAATCGATCGGGGACGCGCGTGCAGTACGGGCTGCCTTCGCTCAGTCTCCGATACAGCGTCGCTCTGAGCGCGAGGCGACTCCCGTTGCAGCGAATCGGTCATCAAGCTCGGACTAAAGGCTCGGTAAAGCCAATGCACGCGCAATGGAATGTTGACGTATTAAAATATAGTGGTCGCGCATGCAACAAGAGATTCGGCATCACTTACCAGCGCTAATGATGAGTCCATTGCCGAGCCAAGGTCGAAGATACTGGTATTCAAGGCTCTTGTCGATATGCTGACTGCTGCTGAGCAGCGGTTGCACATCCTCGACCTTGGTGAGAAATACGAAGGGCCGGCTGCCGACCCAGAGGAGGTAGATGTCGCCCAGCTCCCGGTTCCAACGCAGCAGCTTGCCGAAGAAAGCTACGGAAGGAGGAAGGCGCGCGTTAAAGATCGCCTTTGTTTGCGCCCGAGTCATTGACCCGCGCCTCCCACCACCCCCGCTGCACTCTATTCGCGCAATTATTATGATGATAGGTGGACGCCGCGGTGGCGGCCGTATGGAGGCACTCGCGGACGTTGACCGGCGCCAGGGAAAGGCCTCTTCTCGAGCTCCGGCCGATGAGAGGAGCGCGGCCGGGAACAAACGAGAATACCCAGGTGCTCGGAGTCCTTACTTCTTTTTGCGGGGTCGGGTTACCTTTCCCGATAAGCCCGCTGATGGATTCGTGACTGCCCGGCTACAGCGATAATCGGGACCCGGCGCGTTAAATCATTATCGCGCGGCGCTTTCTTTGTCCCCTCGGAGTGCAATATCGATACGCGAGTCGTTCGCTTTCTCTTCCTTCATCCCGCCCGTGTGCCCCTGATAATAATGTACGCGTGCAGTCGGAAAGCGCTGGCGCAATTGGATTCGATTTTGTTCACATTTTGCCGTTGCTCCGACCTTATTTTATAAACTGCCCGTTAAAGCGAAAATGCTAAAATTGTTTTTTTTTTTACTTTGATCGTCCGGATAATTATTTATTGCTTTTATTTTTAAAGCCCTCTTATTTAACAATATGCCGGGAATCTTAAGTTATGCAATTGAATGTGCATAGTTAATATTATATGAAATTGTGAAAAATGACAGATGAAAAATTCTTAAGATTCTTGGAAAATGTGAAAGTATGTCATCGTATTTAACAATGGCAAAAGCTAATTTGTTCGACGATTCGACGAACGACGGGTTTATTGACATTAATGTTTAAATTGACGACATTAAAAAAAAAAATTGGCTCCAACGATTCTTAATAAGATATTTTCTAATTGTTGAAAATTCCTTTAAATGAGCGAGTTGATAGAAAGCCGATCAAAAATTAACATCGAACAATAATTACAAACTGTATAATCATTTTCTACTGCATATATAGTCAAAAACAGAAAAAAAAACAAAATAAAATAAAATAAAACAAAAAAACAAACAAAAAAACAAAAAAAAAAAACAAAAAAAATACAAAAACAAAAACAAAAACAAAGAGACACTCCATAAACACATAAACATGATGTATTTAACATTTTATTATTGTCATAAATTCTAAAATGTTAAGCAATAAATGTGGATCGATTGTTATTTGAATTCCAAAGCATTTTATTATATTTAAATTGCACGAGCCATTTGAGTTGAATTTTATTACGATCATGATCTCTGATGTACAGTAAATTGTGATAGTCCAGAAAAGAACCAAGACATCGCCAATCACAAAAAGGATATAACTTAATGAACGCGTATCTCTTTATCGTTAATTGCTCAAATAGAGTGTAGTCGTCAATGATGTTATTGTGTCGATAGGCAAATTTAATAATATATCACATAAATGTCGATCGACTTTTTACTCTTTAATACGCTGATTATTAATTTTCAATTGATTTGATTTAGGGCTGAATTCACCTGTAATGGTCAAATCTCAAAAGTGCATAATGGAAAATTCTGTTAAAATGCAATACCCGATTAAACGATATACACTTGTGTCACACTAGATAAAGAAGCTTTAAACGAATAAGATCGACGCGCATGATCTATCGAAGCACTCGAGAGAAAGCTAAGAGATAATTGACGATTGTTTAACAAGCGCGTACGACTTGTGTTTTCTTTTTATGAACGTGATTTTACAGTATTTATGCTGCTTTTACATCAATATCTATGATAAAAGCATGGAAAGGAAATGGATCTTAAAGCTTCGAGCATTGAGAATATAGCCAGGATCGTTAATAAAGCTATTGAATGAGTTAGCAACGGGAAGGAGACCAATAATAAGAGTCGAAAAATAAGTTCAATAAGTAATCGAATACGTTAGGCAAAGTAGTAGTGGGTGGGAGGATTTAGTAGGGGCCGTTGCGCTTGGGATTGAAAAGCTCTGATGAGATGATGAGGTAAAGTAGAAAATCTCCTCGGCCATGCTAGCGTAAAATGGCGCAAGGAACGAAGGAAGAGGCAATTGGATTCCAAAGGACATTCGCACGTAGGGACTGACCTTCGTTGCTGCAGTTGAGCTGTATGGCGTTGCCGAAGACGGGTAGCGCCTTGGGTGAGGGAATATGCCGGAGCTTGTAGAGAAATTTGATGCGCTTGACGAGACAGAATCCAAGCAGCAGAAGGAGATTCAGAGCCAGAGCACAGGTGATCCAGGAGACGTTTCCTTCAGGAGCCGCGGGTACGGCATCGAGACCGGGTCGGGGACTCATGTTGATTATATCAAGCTTAAGGGCCTCGTCTTCCCATGTCATTTGCGATTCTAGGTGAGCCAAGACAGAGGGGGTCGTCGCTCCTCGTGCTCCTCGCGCTCCGTCTGCACCGTCGAATGCACGCGACTGCACGAACGAGGCTCCCTTATATACCATAGTTGGAAAGGCTGCAGCAGCAATAACAGCAATAGTAGTAACAGCAGCAACAGTAGCAGTAGCAACAGCAGCAGCAGCAGCAGCAGCAGCAGCAGCAGCAGCAGCAGCAGCAGCAGCAGCAGCAGCAGCAGCAGCAGCAGCAGCAGCATTCGCCTCAGTAGCAACGGCGGTGGTGGTGGCGGCGGCTCTCGATGTTCCCGCCAATCGGCGCCGTTCAGCCTGTAGCTCGCCAAGACGCAATTGCGGCCCCCGGGGCCTCCATCGGGGCAACCTCATTCACCTTCTATTCCTGCCTTGGCAGCGATAAGCCGAGGCCCCGCTGGCCTCGCATTACAATTACCGAAGGCTGGCTTTCGCAAGAGTGATTGCGATTCCGCGTGATTACTATTCCGCGAGTCGCGATTTTTCCCCAGAAGATGTAGAGCAAAAAA